TGTCACGAACGATTGCCGGCAAGAGAAATACCGATGATAAATTCATCGATAAAGACCTTCTCGTTTCGCGACAGATAAGAAAGCCCCCCACCCAACAAGAGATTCTTTTTCGTAATCGATCGATTCCGTTTAGAGGAACGCGCGTGCACCTATGGGAATTGAGACACAACGAGGCGAGCCAGCTACCTTTGAAAATCAACGGGGGAAAAAACATTCGGACGGGAATTAATGTTGTCGAGACCCCCGGCGGTTGCGAGAAGTCACACACAGAAAACTGTTTGTCAGCCAGGCATTTATGCGTGAAATTTCGCGTGCACTGTTGACCACTTATGTCGTAACAGTTGATACCCGTGACGCAAGGGGGCAATAAATACACTTCCTTTGTCTCGAAAGCCGCGCCCCACGCTTCGAATGCCGGTCATTACCTGGCCTACATAGATGGTATCGCTGATTAATGTACCCAGAATTAACACATGTCTCACTTACCTACCGCGAAACGCACAAAAATTCGGCCAGAATCGTGTGAGGTTAATCGATTTATCGGAAGGGTTATAAATCGTAATCGATACCCGTTGCTAGTCACACGGGTACACGGTAGAAAAGCTAATCGACGTGACATACGATCTTGTGTGTTTTTTCGTCGTGTTCTATGCGCGAAATCGAACGAAACACCGTTTACCAATCCGTTGATCAACAGAGCCGCATGGTGGAGAAATGTGGAATTAAACAGCTGGCCCCCCGAATCGCAACTTACGTGAAGTCGTGAAGATACATGCAATTTCCAGAGATGTTCAGCGTGTCACGAAATGGAATATTGAAGATGTGTAGAGGTGATTCGTCCTGATTTCCTTCACTGAGGTACGTGTAATTGAAATTGCTTCGGTATCAACAGAAATCTCTTTGTGGCGACCGAAAGACGAAGATAACCTATCCGCGTATGCAATCACTGTCTTCGATTTACACGCAAACCGCACGGAGTTTTACTCGTTATTTATCGTCGGTGTTTCTCTTTCCTCAAAACTTTTACGAAAACCCATGTACCGAGAACGATACAAAAGCCCCCTCTCGGCTATCGAGCTTAATTGACGCCAATTTGCCCGAGCAATTTAGGATCGCGACCCCTGACCGTTAAACGTACGTTTCGACGGCGGTTCTTAACCCCCCTCTCAAACTTCAGAAATAAAGAGTCGCCGTTCTCACAAGGGACAGCGAGCGATCGTCGAAGATTTTCCGTTTTGTTTTTTTTTTTTTTTCACAGTTCGTTGCTCCTCAAGGACAAAAAGTTATACATAAATAAATCTCTCGAGAAAGAAAGGCCGGCCGGTGCTCAATCGATGCGCGTGCGCGAGCTGGACCATGTATTACGTATATCAGTTCCATTGTATCTCCCGTATTAATTTTTCTTCCCCCTACGATCGTTCTCCATTTTACACATTTTCCTCGTCGACGCGTGATCGGGCCGAATAGAAGTCTTCACGGAACACCCCCTCTCGTGATCCCCATTCGCGTGCAACGGGATCCACGAGATCGTTCCGTGCTCTTTCATGAATATTTTTTTTTTCTTCTCCCTTCTTTTTTGTGTTTTTTCTTTCTTTCTTTCCTTCTTTCATTTAAATACCGCTTCTTCTCGTCTATACAATATTACGTTATTCGTTAATTTATCGTTTATTACGTGTATCGTAAATTGCGTGTATACAAGGTAGAAACTAAATTATGTCGATCTAAGTTTACAACACAGCACAAGAATTCTTCGCCGCGGGGCGGAGTAGTTCTCCGACGTGTGTCGGTCCGGACGTGGGGATCCGGGGCGACGCCGCGAGGATCGGTTCCGCGGCGCCGTCGATCCCCCGCGTCAAATCGATGGGCGCGCGCGAGTTTCGCCGACCGGGGCCGACAGATGGTGTGTTCGGTACTGCTTGGCACGCTTAACGGCGTTCGACGGACACCTCCGCCGTGTCCGAACAGAATTTTTTGACGGGCGGCGAGCAAATGGGCAACAAAATACGCGGACGGTTGACATGCGTTCAAACGTGTGACTAGGGATTGCTTTCGATCGTAAAACAACGGAGGCAAAGTTTCTTGTTCCGTTTGGGTTTGTCTGCTGTACCTGAAACGAGTTTCATTTTTCTTTTCAAATGTATTTTTAATTTACACTTATAGCGGTCTTTTGGTTTCGTTACAATTATACGTGATTCCATCGAAATCATTGAAAGCCCCTTACTCGAACGTAATTGAACATAATAGGACTACTTTCATTCTATCCGCTTGGGAGGCAATGAAAGCGTTCGCCACGTTTGCAAATTGAGTACACTATAGTAGATTAATTGTTGGGGACAGTCAACCCTTGTTACGAGTGGGGTAGAATCTGAATGGGCTTGAACGGTTAATATCATCAGCATTAAAGCATTCAACACGTCTAGTTGGGACTGTCTCCTAATACGTTAATACAAATATTCTTATGGTTTATTATACTACGGTATTTGTTGTAGTCTACGTTCAATTTACAATTAAATGAATCTCATCTCAGGTGAAATACAACCGTAAGACCCAAAAAGAACAACTGAATGATCGGTGCAACATAAAAAATTCGACTTCTTTCTCTGTCATGACTTGCTAATTCTCGTGGACCGTGTATTTTCTAAAACTGGACCGGAAATTTCCAAACATGTAATGGTCATCTCTCGCGGTGAACACTAACGCGGGTGTCTCGAAGAGGGTAAAGAGGCACTCTGAATCATTTTCGCGGCGGGCAGCGAAATAGAGTTTTCTGTCGGCGGCTTTGCTCTCTAGAGTCGCTATTAAGGTGCCAAGCGGTTTCATGCCGAAAGCATCCTATTCCAAAAATACGCTACGAATTACATCACTTGGTAACTTGGCCTCGTATCGCGCGGAGCAGCAGTAAATTTTCGATGACCGGTTGCTCGCGAAGATCTCCCGTGTTTCGGTCGTACCGGAGGGGATCTTCCCTCTTTCGAATATTTACATGGGAACGAAAACGTAGCCAATACAGTTGAAGAAAGATGTTCACATCTAAATTGACGATTGAAAAAATAATATCTGAATCTAAAATCTCAGCAATAGATAATAATTAGTATGGCCAACAAGAATTTCGCGCCATAATTTGAATATTTGAATCGGACACTGGTACTACTTAAACAGGAAGTGATCATTAGTCAAGAAAGTTAACGGTGACTGTTGAAATCACCTTTCTTCAAGTAGATGGCAAGCTTTTGATGAATGAAGCATGTGTTCGTGCCAGAGTAATTACAATACACAACGATGTATTACCCGTGATTATACTTCGAACGAAAGCAAATAACGAATAAATCGAGTCTCTTTTGACGTGTCTTCAAGCAGTGTAGGGTCCAAGGAAAATTACAAACCGAAGGCTACTAAAAGTATCAATGTCGATTCTACAAAAAGTGTACGGGACACACACTGTAGTATACATAATTTTTTGTGTTAAAACTGACCTTACGACGACACTGACGAAGAAATGTCAAGTCGGGGCTCGATTCTGCTCCGCCGGAGGCCTCCGCTCTCTCAAACACTAGTTTCCATTCTTTCAGCACTACGGGGACAATTCCCCGTTTTTCGTTCACGATTGCCCGATAATTCTGGCCAGGACTGACCGATCCTACGATCGATCACCGAAAAATCACTGGATTTCAACCAATTACAGCACACAGAAACACTGATACTCTATTCACTGATACCCGCACACGATTTCTCTCTTGTCCAATCTTTTAGCTTCTTCGCTTAAACAATATCTTTCCTCCGATACACGTGTGTGCAGGTGTTTCCCCGGAAATTTCCACCTTCGTTTTCCGTCGTTTACCTTCTTTTTTTTCTCTCTCTCTCTCTCCCTCTCCTCGAATCCTCCCGGCACACTGGAGAGAAACACATTCGAAGATCACACTTGGCACGTTCGCGATTCCTAAATACCCTCGCTGAGCCACCGCGGTATTTTGTCGAGAAGAAAACAAAAAAGAAAAAGAACTATCTAAACGATCCACCTAAGAACACTAAACCGTTCATCTACTCGCTAAACAGAGACACGACGGACCCACCGTTCCTCTTCCGCTATTTTGCTAACCGCTCTACGACTCTACGCGTGTACGACGTAAGAGAATAAATAATAAAACGCTTTCCTAAGTTATATTCACGCGGTGTTTCCACAGATTCTCCACACGCACACACACACCACACGTTATCACTTTACACGCATCCACGAACACATTCATACTCTACTTACAATTAGAACCGAGCGTTCGCGATTACCCGCGAGTTCGCGTTCGCGACTTTAAAGTACGTATATTCGTTTTCTCTCCGTTATCTCCTATATCATTATTACATAGGCTTTAGTACAATTACATTCGATTAAATGTAATAGAGGTTAACGCGGTTCTGATTAGCATGTGATCCAGTTTTTTTTCTTCCGTATCCGATCCGATAATCCGTATTTCACCTCCTGGTCTCCTCGACGTTCCGCTAACTTTTTAACTATTATTATAAGATCGCGTGTCCCTATAAATCCTCATCCGACTCGTTCGGTGTGTCCCGTTCCGTTTCCGTATTCCCTCTCGTGTCCTTCTTCCGCCTCGACCTTATCTCGCGGCTTCCTCTCCACTCCGTATATCTCCGTTTCCTCTCCATTCTGTTCTGTCCCTTTTGTCATCGTCCCGTTCGCATCTCTTTGCTATCATATCTACCACTGTCAGTCGGCTATACACGTTCGTCTCTACCCTTCTCTCTCTTCTCCATATTTTGTTTCTTTCTTCATTTTTTTTTTGGTACGAGCAACTTGATTAACACGACAAAATAAGCGTCATTGCTGTTTGGGGGCAGGGGGGCGTGGGACGGGGGGCAGG